TAGGGTCATTCCTAATATTTTCTAACCAAGTCTTTTTAGGTCTGCCTCTTCCTTTCTTAATAGGTCACATATGAATTAAAAAAAAATTCTTTCATTAATATTAACTTGATAATGCTTCCTTTTATGCTTTCCTTCATGCACGGGGAATGCCTGAAAGATAGAAAGACATTGAGATATATTAGCATTGATGGCAAGATCCAACATCACTTTGGCCATGCCATCTTACTTATTGTTATTATTTCTGTGGTGCTGCGGCATCCCTGAATTTAATTTGAAAGAATTATTTATTTTATCTTTTAATATATAATAACAAAAGCTACTTAATTTCTTTTTATCAATATAAATATCAGCGGAAATCAAATTAGCAATCAAATTATCAATATATACATATGTATTAATTTTCCCAAGAGTCGTATACACTTTTCAGGATATATAAAATTATATTATAACTATTATGTCATGAGTCGAAATGAATAGTTACAAAATAAAAAGAAACAAAATAACAGTAAACTTGGAGAATCTTGATCAATCTCACTCTCTTTATCCTATGCTCTGATCTAAAATCATTTAAATCATATATAATGAGCTTAAAAGCCCACAAGGTCATCTAATTCTGCAATTGACTCAAATCATGATAATGAAAAAATATGCATATCATTAGTCAATTTGTAGCAGTAGCACTCATATGATTATGAATAAATAGTAAAATATATATGTAATAATAGTAAAGTATATAGCAATAAAATAATATATTACATAATCCAGTAAAGCAATACAACGGGGAAGCTAGTAAGCTAGTTTGGATGTTAAATCGATAAAGAAGTCGTCATATCAGTACTATCAATCAGTAAATTATAAATCACATAAAATAGTAAAATTAATGCACAGTAAGAACAACCAAAATTATATCCATATAGTAAAATCTTATAATGATGTACACATGCTATCCAATTATTATATATCAGTATTAAATTAGTATCGTAATAATATGTTGTGTATATCATATATTCAGTATTAGTATAATGAATCAATATCATTAATCAGTACAATAAATTAATAGTAGTATCAAAAAGTATTGATGCCCATATTGGTAACAATATCAGTATAATATAGTCATTAAAATTGGTGGCAGTAACAGTAAAGCAATGCAATAATATTAAATGTGTATATTAATAATAAATCAATAAATATTATCAATAAATTAGTAAAATCATACAATAATAGTAACAATGAATCAATAACATGCATTTCAATAGTCACAATAAAAAGTCAAAAGTCTTGATTTAAGCGATATTTTTCTAGTAAGTATAAATCCATACCAATATCTCATTGGTTCAGTAAACAGAGTAGTCATTCTTTATTTTTCAATACAATAATAACTTCTTTTAACTCCCCATCAGTATCATACAAATCAATAAAGGATAACACCAAATTAAAGTATTTAAAGGAAAGTCCCTTAGCCCACTATCCTATACATGTCAGTTAGTCTCTAGCCAACGATAGTAAAACTAATTTTTATTTGTCCTCACATATATTATTATTATAGTACTAAACTATAATAGCGTTTATATATTACTCAATCACATACCTACATTTATTTTCAATGATTGTATTAATAATATACTTATAACAAATATTAATTATTCAATTAGTAGAAATAATACAAAATGCAATAATTTTCATTTTACCACATGAAATTTAATAAAAGTTACATTAAAAGAGCCATAAATAATTAGTACGATAAAATATAAAATGTTGTGCGGTTTAATAAATCCGAAAAAATGCAATAAAATGAATTATGGAGTGAATCAAATAGTTAAAATTAAAATATTTGAAAACATATATAATATTAGAATTACTTACAGTGATCTGAGAATTTCTGCAGAAGCGACAAAGCGATCCGGCCGATAAAAATTGACTTTATCCTCTTCTCAATATTGTGCTGTAATTAAAAAAAAAAAAATAGATTTTTTCCATTTTAAAATATTTTCAGAAATTTGGATTATTACAGGTACAATATATTTGAAGTGCAATCTCTAGGACCCAACCTCGCATTAAGGAAAAAATTAGGATGCATGTGTGAAAGCACTTAATTTTTTAAAGAGTTTTTTTGATCTAGAGAAGTCAATAATTATTTCAGGAGTCATTATAAGTTCAAATAAAAAAATGTCTTCTCTAGAACATTTATAGTATTGTTCCTTAATTATCCTATTTTTTTTCATAAATTTTGAGCACTCTTGAAATTTCTTAAGAAATGGGTATATGTCGGTACAAGTGGGGGTTTGGGACCGTTAGATGTCCATTTTGCAAACTGAATTTATCATTATTTTTCTAAATAAAATGAGTAAATTTATGAATATTTTTTTTTGTAATTTTTAAAATCCCTAAAAGTATTTCTATGAATTTTTATTATATATTATGTAATAACAAAAATAAATATCTAAAGCCATTAGGGCTGCAAGCGAACCAAGCGTTCGACGAACTACTCGATGCTCGGTTCGATTAAAGCTCGTTTATGATCATTTCACTAACTAAACAAACAAACTTGAACAACATTTTAAATACTCGATCCTTAAATAAACAAGCTTGAACACTAATGTGTTAGGTTCATTTATGTTCACGAACAACATCATTTGAAGTTCGTGAACCAGCTCAACATTAAGTTCGATAAAAAACTCGATAAAAACTCGAATGGAGAGAAATGCAATAGGTAAGCTTCATTTAAGAATATATTCATATAGATTAATCATATTTTTATTTTAAATAGATAATTGCTTTTATTATAAATTTAATTTTCTGAACAAAAGACATTTCATATTTGTCTATGTTTGTTAGATTGTTTGTTTAAGATGTTCATGAACAAATTTAATTTTTGTTTGTTCAATAGATTGTTTGTTAAATATGTTCATAAACATGGCTCGTTAAGGCTTGTTTGCTTAATGCTGGATAAGCATTAAACGAATCAAACATGAACCGAACATGAACCAAACATGAACACCCTTAAATTAAACGAACCAAACATGAACACAAACAATAAAACTCGAATCAAACATGAACTGAACTTGAACAAGCTAATGATAAACAAACTCAAACATGAACGCTCGCATACTCGGCTCGGCTCGGTTCGTTTGCAGCCCTAAAAGCCATTATAAATTTATTTAAATGGCATTCTTTTTCCCAAAACATAAAAAGGCAATAGAGAGCTTTTGGAAAAAAAATAAGAGAAAAAAGAGGAGAGAGAAAGAGGAAAATAGGATTTTGAGTGACTTCGGGTAGTTTTCGTCCATCATCTCAGTTGGAAAACTGGTTCTTCTAGAGGTAAGTCACATTATGCTCATCTTAATTTTTTTTTAAAAAAATATAATTTTAGTAAATTTTTTAATTAAAATTTTGTATATGTTAGCGTAAAACGTGGATAACTTTGCACAGATAAAACTTTTATTGCATAACTTTTTATATATTATAGAGGTTACGATGTACATTTTGAATATGTTATGGAAAATTTTGCAACAGGAATTTTGAAATTTGTGAGGTATTTTTTTGAGTAAAAAATTATCTAGATATTAAAAAATATTGCGATAGTATAATAAAAATCTTTAAATATCTTTTTACATAATTCATGATAATATAGTAATTTTTAAAAAATGTATTTTCTTAGTAGGACTTTTTTGTCTGTTATTATACAATACTCTGTAATTTTGATACATTCTCAATAACTTATATTTATAGTGTATAAGTTAATATTTAAATATCAATTATAAAGTCACAGAAAATGACTTTGCTCTTAATAATATAAACAAAGAGATTTCTTATTCCAATGCTATCAGAAAGGCAACATAATATGTCTTAAGCTTGAATATACATATGAATTAACTTTTAAAATTTATTATTCGAACTAGAACATTATAAATTTAACTTATATTTTCACTTGTACTTTCAGAAAGCAGTGTGTTGATCGATATATATATATATATATATACAGACACACACGTCCTGGAGAATTCATGGTGATAGAGAAATATACAGTTTAACGTCTTACGAAGATCCAATACATAATCAGATAAATTTAACGTATATCCGTTGTCCGAAGGAGGTGAGGGCTTCAAGTGGTGGCCTGGTGGAGCACAGGGCCTCAAGTGGTGGTCCAGCGGAGCTCAGGACCTCAGGTGGTGGTCCGGCGAAGCAAAGACATTAGGCGGTGGTCCAGAAGAGGAGAGGGCCTCAAGTGATGGTTCTGCGGAGCTCAGAGCCTCAGGTGGTTGTCTGTCGGAGCAAAGATGTTAGGCGTGGTCCGACGGAGGTGTGGGCCTCAAGTGGTGGTTCGATGGAGTTCACGGCCTCATGTGGTGGACCGGTGGAAGTCCGGCGGTGGTCGAGGAGGAGCTTCTTCATTCTGTTCCTTCTCTTCTTCCTTCTTTCGGTCCCCTTTCAAGAGAAATGAGAGGTCTATTTATAGTTTTTTGGAGTGGCATGGCCTGTAAATAGGTGAGGTCAATGGTAAATGGGGAGTGGTTGGATGGACGTCCGATGTTGAATCCCTTGATCATGTACGTTCGTCAGACATTTGAAGGTCTTAATGATGTCAGAATTCGGCGATATTAGGCTCGTTGGATTTGTCTCGTTGAGCCGCTTGATTCGACTATAAGCACATCATGTTTGAAAATCGTTTGACAATCCAAATTGTGGTCCGAACCTTACAACAACACTTCGGGTTTTTGGTTTGGACTCAATTGGGCTCATATTGAGTCGAATTTGGTGTCATTGGGTTCATACTTCGAGACGTTCAGTTTGAATATAAGTTTGTTGAAATCCGAGTTCGGATGGTCCCAATTTTAATTTTGGAAGTTTCCAACATGATTTTGCACCAAAAGATTTGTAGTTGCTCGTAAATGGGCTACTATGTGTATGATAGGTTCAAGATCATGCCTGTAGGCAAGTTGTTGTGTTCAATACAAGTCTCTTGCATATGCTCGTAGGCGAGTTGTCACGATCATTGCATTAGAAAAGCTATTTTGTCCACTACAAGTTCGTTTAGCTTATTTGTTTTTACAAATTATACTTTGTTTCTTTTTAATTCTAAAATCTTAATCTAGGTCTACTTCCCTTTGAGTTTAATTGCAAGTTTTGTTCCTTGCTATCTACTCAAGTACTTTTATTGTTAGTCTGAATTTCGGCAGCCTCTCACTGTCTGTCCCATCTAGGGGAATATTCAGAAGTACTAGTCTAGGCTTGCCCATCAAAGGCATGCATGGTTGCAAGGATACGTATGCAAAAATTTGTAGATTTCCTCATCGACTTGAAAGCAAGTACATATACTTAAAATTTATCCCACAATGCTAAAAAAAGCGTGCACAAGACTCACCCAACTCGCCGCAGACATCGCGTTGAGCTCCCTCCCACCATGTTAAGAAAACATGCTTAGGTGCTTCTCTCATTGTGCTGCAAACACTGAAGATGGGAGATATGGGAGTTTCGTGAGTTTATAAATCATTATACCTTGTGTGAGGGATGACAAAACAATGGCGACGGGGCGACGGTGGCAAAAAAAATGCGAAAAAAAATCTTTTCTTTTCTTTCTCTATTTTTTAAATCTTTATTCTCTCCTCTTTTTTTTAATCGTTTTTTTTACATAATAATAATAATAATAATAATAATAATAATAATAATAATAATAATAATAATAATAATAATAATAATAATAATAATAATAATAATAATAATAATAATAATAATAATAATAATAATAATAATAATAATAATAATAATAATAATAATAATAATAATAATAATAATAATAATAATAATAATAATAATAATAATAATAATAATAATAATAATAATAATAATAATAATAATAATAATAATAATAATAATAATAATAATAATAATAATAATAATAATAATAATAATAATAATAATAATAATAATAATAATAATAATAATAATAATAATAATAATAATAATAATAATAATAATAATAATAATAATAATAATAATAATAATAATAATAATAATAATAATAATAATAATAATAATAATAATAATAATAATAATAATAATAATAATAATAATAATAATAATAATAATAATAATAATAATAATAATAATAATAATAATAATAATAATAATAATAATAATAATAATAATAATAATAATAATAGTAGTTATTATTATTATTATTATTATTTTAAAATGATATAAAATAAAAGATAAAATAAAAAATAACCATTTAATGCATCTCGATTTCGTGTTATCACCTCAAGATCCACATTGATTTACTCACGTGAAGCCTGCTAAGCAATATTACAGCCATTTCTAGATTATTCAGATGTTGCGAGAGCAACGGCGGAGTCCGTTTTGTAATCAGACGTCATTTGAGCTTCATCGATCAACATTTTCGGGTGTAGATCGTCGATTTCAATCGTTTTCGACTGCGAGGGGCTCCCTCTTAGATAAATTCGACATTCTGATTACAACGACACAGTCCGTTTGGTAATTAGAGGTCATTTGGTGATGTGTTTTGCCCACCAATTGTCGCTCGCATCCTGGATTATAAAATATTAATACTAAACTTTATCCTATTATCAGCTTTGAGATTCACGAGGGGTAACTTATAATCATCCATAAGTTTTCTTCTAGAAGCTGGCAAGCCTTCCCTCAGCAATGACGAATAGAGCTTATTTAAAATAGTCTTATTGTGGGCTCATCATCAATAATTGAACGCTTACCCTTTCAGTATATGATAAGCCTCTCACTCCATTTCACCGTATAATCAACTTCACATTTTTTTTCTTCCCACTCCTTCAGCTATGGACTCCGAACACAGCCATCTACACATGCTTTTCTTCCCTTACATGGCGCAAGGCCACATGCTCCCCATGGTCGACATGGCCAAGGTCTTCGCCGCCCATGGTGCACGCGTCACCATCCTCACTACCCCTGTTAATGCAGCAATCATTTGTCCCAACATCGATGACTCTATCAATCTCCACATCATCCCCTTCCCCATAGCTGAATTTGGCCTCCCCAGTGGTTGCGAGAATCGCTCATTCATTCTTTCTGAAGACCAACGTATCAATTTCATCAAGGCTATCGCCTCGCTTCGCCAACCTTTTGACTCCGTGCTTAGAGATCTCAACCCTGACTGTGTTGTAACTGATATGTTCATGCCGTGGACATACTATGTTGCTGCCGCAAGAGGTATTTTGCGGCTTGTCTTTCATGGCACCAACAACTTTTCACTCTGTGTCAAAAGTGCTTTCGAGCGTTGTTGCCCACTAGCGGACGAGGTCAACTCCTTTATCCTTCCCGATCTCCCACACAAAATAGAGATGTTAAAAACTCAAGTCATGGACTTCAACAAATTAGCAGGAACTCCGTTGGAGTTCCTCTTGGATGTACTTAATGAGGCGGCAGAGGTGGAACCAAAGAGCTTTGGCACGTTGGTGAATAGTTTCTATGAGTTAGAGTATGAATATGCTGATCGTTACGCCGAGATAATGGGAAGGGTGTGGAATGTCGGCCCTGTTTCTCTAAGAAACAAGGAGATGAAAGAAAAGACAACAAGAGGTGGGGAGTATCCAGCATCTGTTAATGAGTGCTTGAAATGGCTTGACAAAAAAACAACAGGCTCGGTTATGTACATGTGCTTTGGAAGTGGAAGTCTTTTCTCAGTGGCACAACTGAGAGAAATGGCACTTGGCCTCGAGGCATCAAGGCATCCATTTGTTTGGGTGGTGCGAAATGAGGGCAATGATTGGATTCCAGAGGGCTATGAAGAGAGAATTAAAGATGTTGGGATGGTGATAAGAGGATGGGCCCCACAATTAGTGATAATAAATCATGATGCGGTCGGAGGATTTGTGACTCATTGTGGGTGGAATTCTAGTTTAGAAGGGATTAGCGCAGGATTGCCGATGGTGACATGGCCATTATACGCAGATCAATTTTATAATGAAAAACTTTTGGTAGATATATTGAAGGTTGGAGTAATGGTGGGCTCCAAGGTCTACACTTTTGATGCAAATGCGAGGCCGATTGTGGAGGCAGCCACATTGGAGACAGCTGTTAGGAGGCTAATGGGCGATGGGTTGGAGGCAGAGGAGAGGCGGAGGAGGGCAAAAGAACTTGGGAAGCTCGCAAGAAGAGCTGTGGAAAAGGGAGGGACATCATATGAGGAGGCGGAGAAATTGATACATGAGTTGATGGACATAAAGAATCGCTCATGATTTTATTACTTCTTCCAAAATTAATGCCTAGTTAATTTTTTTGGTTAATAATATTTTTATTTCAATTATGAAACTTTTGATAATGCTTTATTTATTTAGATTGGTAAGAAGTTAATTAAGCTCCGTTCATTTAGTAAATAAAAAAAGTGAGTATAAATGAATAAAAAATAAGACTTCTAATTAATCATAATTACGATTGAGTAATGAAAAGCAAATTATCTACAAAGCAAATTATCTACATCTCTTTTAAATTTAAAATGATCATGTTATTCAAAATGGACCTAAAAATTTTGTAAATTATTGAGAAATGTAGCTTTGCTCTGAAAAGATTGTTGATTTAATTAATGCAATCTTTACATTATTAAATGGGCTGTTTTTTAATTAAATCAATTTTGTTTTACCATACTTTTTGAATAAATTTACAGCAAAAATGTTTAAGCCTTGTTTGGGATTAATTTTTTTTAATTTATTTTTTCCCTATAATTTGTTTGAAAAATGATTAAAAATATATGTTTTATTTTAAAAAACAGTTAAATCAAATTTTAAGTTTTTTAAATATTTAAATATTTTTGTATTCTCATACCCTTATACACATATTGTTGGTCCCAACTCTTAGCGTGCTCCTCAAAGGAATAAATTTCTTTTGAATGTTAAAAGTCGTTCATCTAAATTTTTTATTTTATTTATTTATTTATAGTGTTAATAAGTTCTTAAATATATTTTTATTTCATATAAAATTTAATAAAATAAAAGGAAAAAAATAAAATGTTTGCAATCGCCCCTTGGGATTTCTTTTCTTTATCGAGCTAAGGTAGCAATGAGGAGCACATGCTTCAACGATTCGTGGAGTGAAATCTAATATTTTGCCCAAGTTTATTGCTAGATGAGCAAACAAGAAGCCTCTAAATAGGGAGTTTTAGATGGAAGGATAGGGAGCAATGGCCTATGAAATGGTAAGGCATTGGTGGTTTTTATAGTAATTCTATCGAGTATCATACATTCATCATGCATTCAGTGAAGGTAGGGGTGTCAATTCGGGTCAACGGGTCGGGGGTTTGAGTCAAACTCGGAACTGATTCGGCACTATTCGGGTCAACCCGAACCCGACCCATTTTTAAAAACAGGTCAGGTTTTCGGACCCGAACCTGACCCGATTGGGTCCAGGTCAACCCGACCCGACACGAATGACCTGGGGTTGACCCAAAATTGCTAGTTTTTGATTTTCAGGTCAAAAACGAGTTAAAAACGGGTCAATTTCGGGTTTTCATGTCAAATATGAGTTTTCGTGTCACTTTCGGGTCAATTTCAGGTCAATTTCGGGTTGCTGGGTCAACCCGAATATGACCCGCTTTTTAAAACGGGTTGATTTGTTGAACCCGAATCCGACCCGTTTCGAGTTCGGGTTGACCCGAACCCGGATTTTTCCGGGTCGGGTTCGGGTTGTGTCAAAAATTGACACCTTTAAGTGAAGGTCCCGAAGGTCTCACTTGTACCGATAGATACAAATTACTTAAGGATTTTCATCGATGCCCAAAAATTATGAAAAAAATCGTGTAAGTAAAATATTACAATCAAAATACTATGGTGAAACTAGATTATGATTTAGAGTTATAATGACTCTAGAAAAATTGAAAAAATTGAAATACGGGTAATTAGAACAATAACCTATGAAATGGTAAGACATTGGTCGGTTTTATAGTAATTCTATCGAGCATCGTACATTCATCATGCATTCAGTGAGAGAACTTTTATTAATTCAAGCACAAGTTAGAAGTATAACAAGTAGAGAGAAAAGACTTTGGAGACAAGAGTTTGCATTGTGCCAAAAGAGAATATGTTCTAATGCTCCTTAGTCCAAAACTCTAATCTAAACACATATAGGCCTCTAGAGCACGACATCATGTGATAAAGAGGATGGGTTTGCTAAGGAAATGATGTGGATTCATATAAAATGGCATTATTAGGAACATCAAGAAGTTATACAAAAAATTGCATGATGGGATTTAAGTCGCGAACTATGGGGGTCGTTAACCCAATTCGTAATCACGTGAATAACATTTAGGCTTCGTTTGATTCGGTTTATGCTTACATAAAAAGGAGTTTTAAAAAAGGAGATTGAGAAAAAGCCGTTCAATAAAATGGAGTTTCAATAATGATATATGTTTGAATAATATTTTTAAAAGTGCTTATTAATACTGTAAAGTTAATTTTAATTGTTTGTTTAGGAGTTCTGCTTTTGAGATTTTATTATAAAAGACATAATTGCCCATGAATTATGCTTTTAATTTATGTTAATTTAAATTGTTTGTTTAGGAGTTCTGCTTTTAAGATGATCACGCCAACATGGCTTCATCATGGCATCAAATATCTCTCGACATTTTGTGAATTTTCGGTCCTTGCCCAGATAATCCGCAAGTTTGGTTGCAAGAGCAAAATCGAAATGGAACCAGTGCTGCTGTGACATCCAACTGTATACCTGAAACCAGAAAACCACATAACTATCACTAAATCCAAGGAGCACGACTTCTCCTTCAACTAAGAGTAGACCACAAATTAATTTCAACCAGTTTTCACCATTAGTCTAATAACCAGCATTAACAGTAGCTAGCTGTGTCAAATAACAAAAATAAAAAATAAAACAAAATTCCCGGCAGAAATGTGGCCGAGCAGCAGATAAAGACTTCATTTTGGTTGCAAAAACTGGAAGGGCCAAATAATCAAACACCTATCAGGCGATTTACAAGCAAGCAACCCAAGAAATAAACATCTAAGTTCTGATTTTATAAGAAGTGTTTTTCCAGTAAACAATAATCCATATTAGTATCATGTTGGCTCAGTAAATAAAATTGTCACTTTTCGCTCGTCGGCACAGTACTAACTCCTTATAACTTTTAATCAATATCACGTGAATCAGCGAAAGAAAACAATAAATACAATATCTAAAGAAAAGCTTGCCATCTCACCATCTTATACAGGTCAGTTAGACTTCAACCAATGTCGGTGAAACTAGCTTTTACTTGTCCTCACATATATTATTATCATAATATTATAACGATAATAAAGACTAACTATTATCCAATCACATACACTCTTTTATTCTTAGTCCTTATATTTTCAGTTTGCTTCAATAAAAATTCCCAATTTTTATAGTATAAATTATACAACATTTAATAACTTCTATTTTCGATCTCGATAAAATTCATATACAGTCAAAATGTCCATGATAATCAATATGATAACATATAAAAAATTTTGTTGTAGAAATTCAATAAAGCTGGGAAAATGTAGTAAAATTAATTTTGAGGAAAATTCATTAGTCAAAATCAGAACCTTTATAAACAAAGATAGGATTAGAATCATATATCTCCATATTAATATTTTTTGTAAAAGCGATAAAGCGATCCAAAAATAAAAAATTTTAAATTTTCTCTCTCTTCTCCTTCCCTCTCCCCATTTTCTCATCCTTGTTCGACAAGTTTGTGTTAGCTTGGGGGAAATAAAGGATGGTTAGTGAGAATTCTTATATAAAAATGATTTTTAGTGGGTAGTGCCGTAGCATTGCATGTCAAATTTAGAATTACCATACAAACAAATGCTTCAATGTGGTGGTGGCATTTTAATACACTGCTGCACTCTAGGCCTAACATCATAGTACCAGAAGGATTAGCACCGCAACACTCCAATTCAAATAAATATTCAAAATTTTTATTTTAATTATTTTTAGAAATTCGGGTTATTACACGAGGAACCGTAGTTAGGACAATGTTATCAGAGGGGCTGTAGTCGAGTGATGGTGGTTAAGGTGACCGTAGTCAGGCTATGGAGGTCGAAGAAATTGTAGTCGGGTAACTAAGGTAGAAGAACTATAATTGGTGGGCTACATAGGTTGAAAAGATTGCAATCAAGCGACTGTGATAGAAGGACTATAGTTGGGCTATTGAGGTTGAAGGACTGTAGTCGGGCGACTGATGTCGAATGGACCGTAGTTGATAGATGACGGAGGTTGGGTGTAGGGTGGTCGCCGGATGAAGGACTGATGTCAATGGTCTGGCGAAGGTTCAACAATTGTGGCAGGGCGGCGAGGATTGGCCAGTGGTGTTGTATGGGTGGAGCTCCATAATTTTTAAGCTTCAAAGCTCTCTGGAGTCTCTAGCCGAGTGTCCAACCTAAAAGAGACCCCTTCTTGCAAAGAAAGGGGGTCTATTCATAAATTTAAAGAGTGTCATACTCCGTAAATATGAAAAAGATTCATGATAAATTTATAGTGCAATATCAGACGACCCATATTGATTCCTTCAATCATGGAACCTTCACTCAACATTTAAGCTTTGTAATGATGTCGGGATTGAGCAATTTTGGGCTCATTGGATTCATGTCGCCGAGCCGCTCCATTCGACTATAAGCATGTCATATTTGATTATTATTTTATCATCTATTTATTGATTCCAAGCTTCCAAATATGCTTCAATCCCCTGATTTGATCCCTTTGTCTCTGATTGGACCGATTTTGATTTTGTTGGATTTGTCTTATTGAGACCTTCAATTTGACTTGAGCTTACTAAAATCGAAGTATGAATGATCCCAAATTTAATTTTGGAAGTTTTCAATTCAAATATATATCGAAGATATTTTTTGTGACAAATCAGATCTCAAATGCTTTTTTATGTAATCTTTTGAGAGGTGTAGCTTTACTCCAAAAAAGATTGTATATTTAATTAATGAAATTTATGATCACAATTTGCATTTTTTTTCAGGAATAAAAATGGCAAAATCCATTATATTGAAAAAAGATTGCATGTAAATATAAGAGAGCAAAAAATACCTATAAAATTGTGTACATTTAATATATTATAAAGGGGGATTTACATACATACAACTTTAGTTCATATTACTTATATATCTAATACCTAAAACTATTACTTCATGACTACCACCCATAGATCAAATAAGGATGTACAAAATGAAATATTAAAGTTTATAAAGTGGTATAATTGATATTAATATTGTCTATGAGTGGTAAACATGAAATATTAAAGATTTGGGTGTTAAATATGTAAATAACATGAAATAAAGTGGTATGCATATAAATCTCCCTTTACTTAATATTCTTCTCAATGCATGCTACTTAAGTAAAAATAATAGAATTTTTAATTAAGGCTTTGTTTGAGATAACTTTCTTACTGCTTTCAAAAGTTGTTTTCTACTACAAAAAAATTTCAGATCTAGAGTTTTTCATACTAGAAAACTATTTTAGAAAACAATAAGAAATTTGTTCCAACCAAAGCTTAATATTATTTGTATTTGGTTCATCAAGAATTGAACCATACTAACTAAACTAACACTCAATTTGGTTTAGTTTGAAAAATAATTTATTTGATTCAATAATTTATTGCACATATGATCATCGCCTATCTTATTATTATAATTAAATGATCATATACTATATTTTATCACTCATTTGATTTACTTAATGATACCTGATACAGCATCACAAAATTAGCTTGATCGGGCACGAATCTCGAGGCGAAAGCTAGTTGGAAACTTCAAAAATTAATTCCGAGAGCACCCCAACTCCGATTTCAGCAAGCTTATAGTCGAACTGAGCGTCTCGGAAATACGAACTCAACGACACCAAGATCAACCCAATCCGAGCCCAAATGGGTCCAAATAATGGATCCAAAGTGCTGTTGGAAGGTTCAAACCGTAATTTGAGTTACCAAACGGACTCCGATTTTGACGAACTTTATCTCATTTTAATCTTTCAGATTCCCGAGAGGAAGTTGACCTTCCATCAGTAATGACGATAGCTTCAGATATTAAAGCAAAGATTTTGGACATTTCTTCTTCTTATAAAAAGAGTCTCCCACTCCATTACAGAGTAAAATCAATCGCACACAACAGTGTGTTTCTCTCTAGCCATTATCCAGCAATGACCTCTGAAGCCAATCATCTCCACATGCTATTCTTCCCTTTCATGGCGCAAGGCCACATGCTCCCTATGGTCGACATGGCCAAAATCTTCGCAGCCCGTGGCATCCGCATAACCATCCTCACTACTCCTGTTAATGCTACCATCATCCGCCCCAGCATCGATGACTCTGTTCAACTCCACATTATCCCTTTTCCCTCTGTTGAGTTTGGCCTCCCCAACGGGTGTGAGAACCGCTCATTAATGTTTGATCATGACCAAGTAAGCAACTTCTTCAAGGCTCTCTCCTCGCTTCGACACTCTTTCGATTATGTGCTTGGAGAACTCTACCCTGATTGCGTAGTCACCGACATGTTCTTGCCATGGACATATTATGTTGCCACCGCAAGAGGTATTCCACGACTTGTTTTTCATGGGAGTAGCAACTTCGCAATGTGTGCTACCACTGCTTTTGAGCGGTGCCCCCTAAAAGTGGACAAGGCCGAGTGCTTTGTTTTTCCTGACCTCCCCCACCGTATAGAGATGTTAAGAACCCAAATAATGGACTTTAACAAATTTGCAGGAACACCATCTGACATCATTTTTGAGACATTTAGAGAAGCAATGGAGGTGGAATCGAAAAACTATGGTGCATTGATGAATAGTTTCTATGTGCTGGAACCTGAATTTGCTGACCACTATCGCAAGGGGATAGGGAGGGTGTGGAATATTGGCCCTGTTTCTCTATACAACAAGGAGATGACCAAGTCATCAAGAGGTGGGGAGTATCCAGCTTCTGTTAACGAGTGTTTGAAATGGCTTGACAAAAGACCAACAGGCTCGATTGTATACATATGCTTTGGAAGTGGAAGCCTATTCTCGGTGGAGCAATTGAGAGAAATAGCGCTTGCGCTTGAGGAATCTAGGCTTCTATTTGTTTGGGTGGTGAGGAATGAGTGCGATGATTGGATTCCAAAGGGGTATAGAGAGAGAATTAAAGAGGTAGGGATGATGATAAGAGGATGGGCCCCACAACTAGTGATACTAAATCATGATGCAGTTGGGGGATTTGTAACTCATTGTGGGTGGAATTCTTGTTTAGAAGGAATTAGTGCAGGGTTGCCGATGGTAACATGGCCGTTGTATGCGGATCAATTTTATAATGAAAAGTTTTTAGTAGATATATTGAAGGTTGGTATAACGGTGGGCTCAAAGGTGAACACTTTTAATATAGAGATGAGACCCATTGTGAAGGCTGAGGTAATAAAGATAGCTGTTAGGACGTTGATGGGGGATGGGATGGAAGCAAACGAGAGGAGGAGGAGGGCAAAACAACTTGGGGAGATGGCCAAAAAAGCTGTGGACAAGGGAGGGTCATCTTATGAGGAGATCGAAAATTTGATAAATGAATTAATTGATCGAAAGAAGCGTGTGTAGCTTTGCTTGGGGAATTTATTTTTTCTTCTAAAATTAATGCCTACTTAAATATTTGCATCTCACTTAAAATTTAAATTATCATCTTGGTTCTCAAATATTGTTTTATGCAGACGGTTCGGAGTAAGTCCTTTTCAACAATTGAGATAATGAGGAATCAAGAGCCACAAAATAATATACAATATAAGATGTTAACTAATTTGAATATTTTGATACATCTCATTATCATGAACTATGAACCAAACATAAAATTTTATGAATTATATCTTTATCTTTTATAATGATAATAACTATTTCTCAAAAAAAAATGTGGTGCTATCTTATTCTTTTTAATAATAAAATGTTAGTAAAAATGTGATCTATTAATCAAAATATCAATGATTATTTCTCAAAAAATAATATACAAAAGCTAGGAGTCATCTAATACAACACTAACTAGACACTCCTTAAAAGATAAAATAATAGTAAAACATGTAGAATCATAATTCTGATGAGTCTCGCACTCCATATCCTTTTCTGAGACATGATATTATCAAATCACATATATTTAGCTAAACACCCCAGCTGATCACTAAAATTTTACAATTGAACTCAAAGCATATGAAAGAAGCAATGTGCATGAAATTATTTAATTCATAACTGTAGTAGTCAATATGATAATGAATTTATACAGAAATAATAAAATGCATTATATAATGGTGAAATCCAAAAACAGCATACTACGATTGTTGAAATAATAAAGCTATAAATAATCATTGTTGTTGCATCCTGGAATATTCGCGGCGGTAGAGAAATATTTATGGTTTAACGTCTTAGCATTGTATGAAGATCCAGCACACAAGCAGATAAGTGAGGGGGTGAAACATTCATAAGAGACACCAGAGTTTTTACGTGGAAAACCCCTTAAAAGGGGGAAAAACCACGGGGCCTGGCCCAGTTTGAATGAATCCACTAGTATTTGTAGTTGTTACAAATGAGGCTCTTCCTTGGGAGAAAGCCTTGGATTGATGTAACAAATGTACATCATGCAGATTGCATTACATAGTAGGAATTACATATACATGTTTGTCTGGTCGGAAGGACCGTAGTCGGCAGGAGACCGGGTCAGAAAGACCGTCGTCTGTTAATGGAGGTCGGAAGGAACATAGTAGGCGACGAAGGCCTGAAGGACCGTGGTCGGTAGGAAACTGGGGTCTGAAAGACTGTTGTAGTAGGACGGTACTTTGGTAGAACTCTGGACGTCAGGTAGTGGCCCAGCAAAAGTCCAGGCCTCAAATTGTGTTCCGACAAAACAACGGCGTATGGTGGTAGTCTAGCAGAGGAGAGAGCCTTTGGTGAAGGTGAAGGTGAAGGCCTCAGATGTTGGTGAGGTCCTTTGACGAATGTGAGGGCTTCTGGAGAAGTTGAGGGCCTCAGATGAAGAAATCAGGCCTGAAAGTCGGGCCTTGAGCAGAACGTTGGGCATGAATGTCAGACCTTTAGTAGCACGTCGGGCCTGAACGTCAGGCCTTGAGATGGTGGTGCAGCGAAACTCCGACGGTGGTCCGGCGAGGCTCCAGAGGTGGTCCAGCGAGGCTCCGGCGGTGGTCCGGCGAGGCTCCTGCGGTGGTCCGGCGAGGCTCCTGCGGTGGTCCGGCGAGGTTCCGGCAATGGTCGAGGAGGAGCTTCTTCCTTCCCTTCCTTCTCCTCTTCCTTCTCTTCTTGCTTGAGTCCCCCTCTCATGAGAAATGAGGGCTCTATTTATAGATTTTCTGGAGTGACATGACCCGTAAATAGGCGTGAGATCAGGGGCGAATAGGGAGTGGTCGAATGGACGGCCGATATTGAATCCTACGATCGTGCACCGTTCGTTGGACATTTGAAAGCCTTAGTGATGTCAGATTTCTATGATCTTGGTCTCGTTGGACTCATCTCGTCGATTCGCTCGATTCTAGTATAAGCTCGTTAAAATCGGAGATCGTTTGGTAACTCAAATTGCGGTTTGAACCTTCTAAAAGAGCTTCGGGTCCTTGATTCGGACCCATTTGGACGCGGATTGGGTCGAATTTGGTGTCATTGTATTTGTATTTCCAAGACAATCAGTTTGACTGTAAGCTCACTGAAATCGGAGTTCAGGTGCTCCCGGATTTAATTTTTGAAGTTTCCAACTTGATTTTTGCCTCGAGATTCGTGCCCGATCAAGTTAATTTTCGCATGACGTATCAGTTGCCCCCCTATTTTCGTCGTTGAAGCTCCAGAAGTATGAAAATACTTGTTCCAAAATTTTACATTGGCCGAATCGTAAAAAATTGGGCTTCAAAAGTTGAATATTTGAAGATACTTGGTCATAGAAGCCCCGTCGAGCTCCAGAAGTGTCAAAATTGAGTCCGGAACTTCAAAAAACGGTCCTGAGGGCCCAAAAAACATCAAGTTTGGACTATCCGTGCCTAAAATCGGGCCCGGACAAGCTTGGCAGGCCGAACCATGCATTGCGCGGTTACCTATTTAATTTTTTTTGTGGGGCCCACATAGAATTTTTTAACCCAAAAAATTCTGAAAAAATTCCAGAAAATTCCAAAAAATTCTGAAAAAATTCCAGAAAATTCCAAAAAATTCCGAAAAAATTCTAAAAAATCAGAAAAATGTGGGAAATTCGAAAATGCTGGAAAAATTTAGAAACTTTTCCTCTTCTATTCAAAAAAGTATAAATAGGCCCCCTAGGCCTTTAGAAAAATTGCCCTTCTCCTCTTCTTTTCCCCTTTTCTGTTTCTTCTTCTCTTCTTCTCCTCTCCCTCTGTCCTTACTATTGAGGCCTTCCCTTGATTTTTCGAGGCCCCTCTTTTGGCAAGAAAGTCCATAGATTCTCCCTTCTTCTCTTCTCCCTCTGTCCTTACTATTGAAGCCTTCCCTCAATTTTTCGAGGCCCCTATCTTGGCAAGGAAGTCCGGAGATTCTCCCTTCTTCTCTTCTCCCTCTGTCCTTACTATTGAGGCCTTCCCTTGATTTTTCGAGGCCCCTCTTTTGGCAAGGAAGTCCGGAGATTCTCCCTTCTTCTCTTCTCCCTCTGTCCTTACTATTGAGGCCTTCCCTTGATTTTTCGAGGCCCCTCTTTTGGCAAGGAAGTCCGGAGATTCTCCCTTCTTCTCTTCTCCCTCTGTCCTTACTATTGAGGTCTTCTCTCAATTTTTCGAGGCCCCTCTCTTGGCAAGGAAGTCTGGAGATTCTCCCTTCTTCTCTTCTCCCTCTATCGTTACTATTGAGGCCTTCCCTTGATTTTTCGAGGCCCCTCTTTTGGCAAGGAAGTCCGGAGATTTCCCCTTCTTCTCTTCTCCCTCTGTCCTTACTACTGAGGCCTTCCCTTGATTTTTCGAGGCCCCTCTTTTGGCAAGGAAGTCCGGAGATTTCCCCTTCTTCTCTTCTCCCTCTGTCCTTACTATTGAGGCCTTCCCTCGATTTTTCGAGGCCCCTCTTTTGGCAAGGAAGTCTGGAGATTTCCCCTTCTTCTCTTCTCCCTCTGTCCTTACTACTGAGGCCTTCCCTCGATTTTTCGAGGCCCCTCTTTTGGCAAGGAAGTCCGGAGATTCCCCCTTCTTCTCTTCTCCCTCTGTCCTTACAATTGAGGCTTTCCCTTGGTCTTCCAAGGCCCCTCTCTCTGCAAGGAAGTCCGGAGATTCCCTTCTCCCTTTCTACTTCGAGAGATCATGTGGAGTTCTGATGGTAGGAAGAAGTTCGGTGTCGGATAGAAGCACTGAGTCGGGTATAAGACCGACTAAAGTTCATCGACGAATAGAAGTCCGACGATGAGTAAAAGTCCGCTGACGAGCAAAAGTCCGACGACATGGAGAAGTCCCATGTCGGGTAGAAGTCCGACGACAGGGAGAAGTCCTACGTATGGTGGAAGACCGACGAAAGTTCATCGACGAGCAGAAGTCCGACGAGTAGGAGAAGTCCGACGTCTGGTAGAAGTACCGCCTTGGGCAGAAGACCAATGAAAGTTCGTCGACGGGCTGAAGTCGGACGACGGGTAAGAGTCCGCTGACGAGTAGAAGTCCGACGACAGGGAGAAGTCATACGTATGGTGGAAGACCGAAGAAATCTCTTCGGTGAGCAGAAGTACGATGAGTAGGAGAAGTTCGACGTCAGGTAGAAGTACGGCCTTGGGCAGAAGACCGATGAAAGTTAGTCGACGGACTGAAGTCCGACGACGACTAGGAGTTTGCTGACGAGCAGAAGTCTGACGATAGGGAGAAGTCCGACGTCGAAAGTCCTGTAAGGCAAAAATTTAGCGACAGGAGGAAATTCAACAATAGATAGAAATTTAACTTTGTGCAGAAGTCCATTGAATGAATTCTGGTGTCGTTAACCAAGGATGTATAATCTATCCAAGGTTATTTGTCAGAGCCTTTGCTCGATGATATTAACCAATATTGGATCCACCAATGATGTAAGACCTATCAAAGGTTATATGACAGAGCATTTGCCCGATGACGTTAACCTGTATGGAAGAGATTGAGATAATTCACCAAGGATGTAGGACCTTTCCGAGGTTGTATGTCGGAGCCTTTGCTCGACGACGTTAACCTGTGTAGAAGAGGTCTGGAGAATCCACTAAGGATGTAGGACCTTTCCGAGGTTGTATGTCGGAGCCTTTGCTCGACGACGTTAACCTGTGTGGAAGAGGTCGGGAGAATCCACCAAGGATGTAGGACCTTTCCGAGGTTGTATGTCGGAGCCATGCTCGACGACGTTAACCTGTATGGAAGAGGTCGGGAGAATCCACCAAGGATGTGAGACCTTTCCGA